TTTTCCACCAGTTTTCACAGCAGCAGGTGGCTGCATGCGTCTTGTTAATGACGTGGCCAATCAACGATGTAAACCAACATGGTAACTAACAAATGAAATCTGCACTCGTGTCTTCACTGTTGCTTTACCTGTGAAATGTCCACCGATCCCTGTAACGCACCTGGACCGGACAACCTGTGTAAAGTCTGTGTGGGAAACACTGTCATTATAAGATAATGATAATAAAAATAATCTTTATTCATAGAGCAGACTTCATAATCCATGTTAAAAAGTGCTTTCAGAAAAAGGAAAACACTCCCACGTCTGCTTTGTGACTCAGTCAAACCAGACTCCAGGATTCCTGATGTGATCCACCAGGGACCCAGCAGGGGGCAGAGTCTGCTTTGACATGTGCTGGGAGCCAAAGACCAGGACCTCTGGTCTCAGAGGAAGAACAGACACAGTGACTGTTAGCAGACAACTCACTGCTGGTGAAGAAGAACCTAAAGTCACAGTGATCTGATGTTTCTCTAGCGGCTCGATGAGTCGGGGTCGCGCTCAGGTCTGACCGTGTGCCTCAGCACATCCTTCTCTCAAACGTCTGATCTCTTCAAACTGTTTGAGGAGGATCTTTGATTTCTTTCCCTCGAATGTAAACGTGCACAGAAACAATTTGACGCTGTCTTTTCTGTTGAGCAGGAGGAAGATGATTTGGGCAGAAATCAGTTATTTCTCTAAGTGGTGGAACGACATCGACGAGCAGAAGAGAGAGATGGTCAAACGGTAAATAGTTTAAAATGTTTTTGTTCTGACTCTCTTCTGTCCATTTGAACTCTTTCTCATTATTTAATCATCCTGTCGCTTTCGTTTGATGTATTTTTTTCTTATTTAAAGTCGTGTTCTTTTTTTTTCCTGCTCTGTGATTGGTCAGCCTGCTGAAGGCGGGGCAGTTGGAGCTGGTGACGGGCGGCTGGGTGATGGCTGATGAGGCGAACTCTCATTACTTTGCTCTGTTGGATCAGCTGATCGAGGGACACCAGTGGATACAGCGACACCTGGGTTCGTGTTGCCCCCCCCCCCCATCGCTTAGTTTCCTGTCGCTGTGTGACATCATTGAACGCATCACACTCTGAAACTTGATCTTTTTGTCCAGGTGTGAAGCCGAGCAGCGGTTGGGCCGTGGATCCGTTTGGCCACTCCCCCTCTATGACCTATCTGCTGAAGGGGGCGGGACTTCAGAACATGCTCATCCAGCGGACTCACTACGCCATCAAGAAACACTTCGCCCAGCAGCAGACGCTTGAGTTTCAGTGGCGGCAGAGCTGGGGTGGGTGTGGGCGAGAGACACCGAGAGAATGAGAGAGAGAGAGAGAGAGAGAGAAACTGATGATGTAACCCGAGAGATCGGACTGAACACGTGAAAAACACAACAACAAATAAGAGTTCATTAATTAAAAGCAACAATTAACAGAAAAAGTCTTTGAGATATTTGAGATTAAATTTACATAAAGTTTGACTCAAATATGTAAAACTTGTTTCTCTAACTCCGTCCACTTCCTGTGTGTCAGACTCCTCCCCCCGCAGTGACATCATGTGTCACATGATGCCATTCTACAGCTATGACATACCGCACACGTGCGGTCCGAACCCGGCGGTCTGTTGTCAGTTTGATTTCTATCGCCTGCCGGGGGGGCGGGTCTTCTGTCCATGGAGGATACCGCCACAGCCAATCACAGAGCAGAACGTCCAGGAGAGGTGAGCAGGAGGCGGGGCCAAAGACGGCAGTAATTAAAATTTATTCTTTAATTCTTATTAATATTAATAAGAGTGATTCCAAAGTTTGACAAAGTGTTTAGTTTGTCCTTAAAACAGCAGATTTCTGAATGGAGTTCTGTGGCTGATTGGCCCTAATGAGATTATATTTTTTATCTTTTGTGTGCACAAAATTCATCTCATAAATGTTATGGGACTTCAGGGGCTCCGTAGATTTCTGAGTTTTGAGACTTTTAATTTTGAGGCGTTTTATTTGAGTTCCTGACCTTTTCTCTAAATGAATGATTATACTCTAAACACTAAGCGCCCTCTTGTTCTCAAACGTGGATGAAACGTCCTTCAGCTTTATTTTAGCCGGCTCCTCTCTGTCCTCTCAGAGCTCTTCTCCTGTTGGATCAGTACCGGCAGAAGTCACGACTCTTTCGTTCTTCGGTTCTTCTGGTTCCGCTCGGTGACGACTTTCGCTTTGTGGAGTCGAGCGAGTGGGACGCTCAGTTCAGTAACTACCAGAAACTCTTCGACTACTTCGACCAACACCCGGAGCTCCACGTCAAGGTGAACGCCTGAAACTGTATATTTACACAGCTGATTGAGCCGTAATTAAAAATGTGATATCAGTATTACATTCATCCAGACCTTTATAAAATATTATCTTCCATCAAAAGTGTGGGTTATCAATACAGCACAACCAACTGTAGCTGAACATCAACAGTACATTATAATTTACACAGAGATACAACAAGCTGTTAACAGCTGGTATCACTTCAAGTGTATTTTAATTGACGTCTTGTTTTGTCGTTATTCTTCATCACAACCTGAAAATATATAATTTCTTCTCCTTTCAGGCTCGATTCGGGACTCTCTCAGATTACTTTGCAGCTCTTCATCGGCGTCTGAAAGCAGCTCAAATGACTCTGCCTACAGTTCGCGGCGACTTCTTCACGTACGCCGACCGTGACGATCATTACTGGAGCGGATACTTCACCTCCAGACCGTTTTACAAACGCCTCGACAGAACGTTGGAGGCCACGCTCAGGTATGTTACCTTTGTTTGACATGACTCCGGGACCTTGACCTTTATTTTACCGGACTTGGGACCTTTAACCTTTAGTTGACGGGACTCGGGACTGGGGACCTTTAGTTGACGGGACTCGGGACCTTTAACCTTTAGTTGACGGGACTCGGGACCTTTAACCTTTAGTTGACGGGACTCGGGACTCGGGACCTTTAGTTGACGGGACTCGGGACCTTTAACCTTTAGTTGACGGGACTCGGGACCTTTAACCTTTAGTTGACGGGACTCGGGACCTTTAACCTTTAGTTGACGGGACTCGGGACCTTTATCTTTATTTAATTTCTTCTTCTCTCTGACAGAGCGACAGAAATCCTCTTCAGTCTTACGTTGGCCGAAATGCGTAGTTTCCGTGGCGACGGTCGTCTGGTTGCAGATTTCCCGGCTCGTGAACACTTCCAGCATCTCACGGCGGGGAGGCGGAGCCTGGCGCTTTTCCAGCACCACGACGCCGTCACCGGCACGGCCCGTGACCCCGTTGTTGTCGACTACGGCACCAGGTGACTACTTCCTGTTAGCACGTTAGCATGCTAGCATATGGTAGGTTAAAAGTTGCTTACCAGGTAAAAACTTTTTAATCAAGGGCAAATTGATTTTAAAAATTAATAAACAGCAGGGTGAGTGAAATATACAGCTAACAAGGCAAAAAAGATTAGAAACCTTTTACTTATTAAACCTAAAAGGTTTTAAGCAGCAGGTAAAAAGCATGATTTAAGGTAAATACAAACAAAGTGTTCGAACTTTTTGTTGAGTGACTGTTGTTAAAGTTACAGTTTTAATGAAGTTTTTTAGCGTATAAACTTTTATTTATCATAAATTTGTTTTGTTTATATTATTAAGTTGTGTTTGTCATTGATTATTTGTTCCCGCAGGGTTTTTTAATAATCTTCTTTGAGTTTGTTTTAAATTGACCCTTCATCACATTTGCAGATAACAAATCAACGTTCTCATTGTAGCACCTGAAACACTTTAGCGTCTTTAGCGTTAGCATGTGTTTTGTCTCATTTGTCCCTCCATGCTCTCAGTTGAAGGACGACGTCGCCACTGACAACGGTAACAGGTACCGCCTCGCTTAGCGTGAGCAGTTAGCATTAGCCTCCCATCATACCTGTTCATGTAGCATTAGCATCTAACCCCAATTTCCCATCCCTCCCATTTGATAAGCGTGTTGTTAACATCGTGTGTTACAGTGTAGTTTGTCAGTCATTGTGCAAGTTTGACAGTTTTTGAAGTGAAGTTGAGAGATGTGTATTTTAAATAAAGTTTTGACTAAGTAACAAGTAGTGCATTGTGGTGCGTCTTAAGTCAATATTGTGAAGAGGAGAACTAAAAGATTTTCATAGATCATATTTACAGTTTGAATAAAGTAAATCAAAAGCAAACACACTCCAAAATAAATAAAATAAAACATCAAAGGTAAAAGTCTTGACTAAATTATCTTTTATTGAACAGGTTGTTTCACTCGATCCTGAACCTGCGCCAGGTGCTGCAGAACTCCGCCCACTGGCTGCTCCTATTGGACAAGAGCCAGTACCACCATGACCAGTCAAAACCCTTCCTGCAAATGGTGACCTTTGACCCCATCAGCTCTTTTACCATTGACCTGTTGAGCATATTTTTGTAATATTTTATGCCTTGGGTTGTGTTCATGTTTGTTTGGTAATGCACCACCTGCTGGAGGTGTCTGGTACTGCACCTGTCCCAACACTGCCCAAAATGTTATCACGCTAACTATCGGGATAAACGCCAAATCATTATTTTACTTCAGGGTTAAAGGCAGATTTCTGCTCCTGAGTGAAAGTTAATGTGGTTTTAAACTTTTCTCTCTTCTCAGAACAAACACTTGGGCCGAACATTCAGAACTGTTCGGATAAAATCTGTTTCCTCAACAAAATAAATATCTTAATAGAAAAATTAAGTGCTGATTCTTTCATGATTCAAATGAACTAAACATTTGGTATTTTGTTACTGAGGATAATCATCCTTCTTGTTTGATTGCTCAGCCAATATGAAACGGACACAAACAGAAAGGTGGAGGAGTGAGAAGAGCAGCGGACGCTGCAGCTTTCACAGAAACTATAAGATGTAAATATTAGAAATGTTTTCACCCCTCAGACGTTCATATTGTGATGTGTTTTTCAGGATGACGTGATCTCGGCGCAGGACGCTCTGCCTCAGAAGACGTCGCTCACGCTCAGTGATGAGCCCAGGTAAAGGGGGCGGGGCTTACAGAGGGAATATCTGATTATCTCCCAGACTGGGTCAGAGGGTTCCAGTTCACCGGCATTCATCAAGTTTCAGGTCAGAGATGTCGACCGTGCTCCAGATGACCTCTGAGCGGCTCAGATATTAGCATGCTAACGTCTATGTGAGAAGCAGTTAGTGTTTTAATGTAGTGATGGAGAAACTGCCTGTAGTAACTAATGTTGAGCATCTTTCTGAGATGAAAGTACATTTAAATATGTGGATGTTACGGCTGCAGGTCAAAAAGGAACTAAATGTGATAACACCGTGAAAAAACTGATTACTTACAAAGACACAACGTTTTTTTATATTACAGCTTTTCTAAAATATGCAAATGAGGCAGTTTCTAATGGGCAGGGTTTTTCCTGCGTAGAGAAATATTTGGCGCCCCCCAGAGAGGTTTTAATGAGCGCTAAAGGAAAATCCTCAGCGCCAAAATGATCAGAAAAGTGTTTTAATTGTCAGCAAACAGCTGTTTGCAGAACCTAAACTTAAATACAGCGTCTCGTCGTCCAGCAGCCGCTGGATTAATAAACCATCTGCAGTCTTGATTTAACCTGAACGTTCCGCTACGAAGCTCGTGCTCACAAGATAAAAGCTGCATATGCTTGGAGTGTGTCGGTATTCTCCGGTCACTTCTACTACATTTTAGTCTTTGGCGTAGCCTGCCGGCCCCGGTCCTCTCTTCTGTCCTCTCCGGATCAGGGTCTCTGGGCTCCACGTGACGCTCACCTGTTCCCGTTCTCTCCTGCCTGCTGATCTCCGCAGGGAGATCGGAGCCTTTCGTGTGCGTTTGTTGCTCGTCAAAGTCACTTTTCGTGAACCGACCAATCACAGCCTGGAGGAGGCGGGGCATTAAAAAAAAGGTTGAGGCGCTACAGCAAAGTTAAGAAACGTTTAACTCGTCGTTCTGTATGCACGGTTCTTATTTCTGACAAGTTAATTTGCATAAACAAATGAGAGACTGAGCGTGTACAGAAACTGGAATTAATATTAGGCTACTAATGGTGAGCTGTAGTACGATTATCTGAAATTATAACGACCACACAAACATCAGCACTAATCAAATTTAGCCACAGATCTGCAGGCTGATATCAGAGAGAGGTTTTATTTATTAACTATCTGTAGGCAGATTATCCAGATGTACCAACATCATACTTTGTATTTAATGTCATAATATTTATAAATACACTCATTTATAGCTTTACTCCTCCAGCTTGTGGATGGATTTTGTTTATCAGATGTCAGGAATAACAAGAAAATGCACAGATTTTGGTCGTAAGCGTACCGATCATGCTCAGCGTCGCGCAGTCGCCCCCCCAAAGGCCCATTCTGAACCAGGAAAACCCTGCTAATGGGTGACCATGGCACAGTGGATACAACACATGCCTTTGGTGTGAGAGACCCGGGTTCACTGTGACCCTGAGCAAGACCCCTCGTTGCTCCAGAGGCGTGCGACCTCTGACATATCTGAGCGCGGGATTAAATCAGGTTCAAAATGATGTTTTATTTTGTTGACACATTAGATGTTTTCACATAAATAAAAACAGACAGACGTTTTTAGGAATAAAATAATAATATATATAATAATTCAGGCTGTGAATAATATATGAACAAACCTGCAGAACGTAGTCTGGACAGTTTGGTGCTGAAGATTTCAGACTCAGAGTGACTTGGTTCAACCAACTGTGATCTGGAAAACTGAGAACCTTCACAGAAACTGCTAATTAGCTTAGGATGCTAACATGCTAAGCTAATAAGGTGAACATTACGCCTGTTAAACGCCAGCATGTTAGCAGTGTGAGCGTGTTAGCTTGCTGCAGGTACTGACTTGATGTTGAATATCGTTTCTGTTTCAGGTCACTGATCATCTTTAACCCGACAGAGCAGCTGCGCACGCCCGTCATCAGCGTCGTCGTCGACTCTCCGGACGCTCGCGTTGCCGACGCGCACACGGGTCGACCAATGGCTGCGCAGATCTCTGCGGTGTGGGCGGAGCCGACACAGGCGTCCACGGAAACTTTCCAGGTGATGAACAGTTCAATGAATTGACTTATTGTTGTTGTTATTGATGTTGTTTATAGATATTTGATGTTTGGACATCAGCTTAATGGTAACAGCGATCGTCCAATCGAATCCACAGCAGGCGTGTCAGGACATTTTAAACTTTATATTTTCAGCTCGACTTCGTGGCTGAACTTCCTCCTCTGTCACTGGTCGTGTATCACGTGACCAAAGACTCGGATGGCTCCGCCCACCGGGCTCGCTACACCTTCCATCATCGCGGAAACACGCCGACCGTCCAGTCCAAACACTTCCAGGTGTCCCGCCCACAAGGACATGAGGCCGACGGCCCCCTGTCGCTTAGCAACAAGCACGTCCAAATATGGAGCTCCCCAGAGACGGGCCTGCTGCAGGTCAGGCTTTTCAAATTAAAAGTCTCTCCAGAGAGAAAAAAAAGTCACAACAAAAATATATATTTAAATAATGAAAAATAAACAATTTCATTAATTTATAAAAAACAAAACTGACACCCAAAATATTATTTTATTATTTAAATATATTTCGGTCAGTTTTATTTATTTAAAAGTTTTATTTTGAAATGCAGAAGCTCCGTCTGCAGTCCGGTCTGGTCCGTCAGGTCCAGGTCCAGTTTCTGTGGTACGGAACAAGAGCAAACCGGGACAAGAGCGGAGCCTACCTGTTCCTGCCCGGGGAGGAGGGGCCCAGGTAAGACCAGAACCAGATCCACAAACCACATCAGTCTGACTAAATGTCTCTCTCTATCGCTGTCTTCTCATTCATTGTCAATCTCTCTCGCCCGCCTGCAGCCCTACTCGTCCTCAGAGCCCCCCCTGGTTCGGGTCTCCAGAGGTCCGGTCTTCTCTGACATCACTTCCTGTTTCCGACACTTCACACACAGAGTCCGGCTTTACCACGTGGACGGTAACGAGACGATTTACTGGTTATTCATCGATTCAGCGAAAGTTTTGATTTGATGAAAAACAGAAACTGGAGAATATATCGTCTCAGCCCTGGGCTTTGACTGTCAGGCTTTGATACAGGCTGCCCTGGGCTTTGACTGTCAGGCTTTGATACAGGCTGCCCTGGGCTTTGACTGTCAGGCTTTGATACAGGCTGCCCTGGGCTTTGACTGTCAGGCTTTGATACAGGCTGCCCTGGGCTTTGACTGTCAGGTGCAGTAAAGCTAATTATTTCGTGTGAATGTGTCTAACTGGACTCAAACACCGCAAACGCTGTTGAAGCTTCTGCACAGAGCATGCTCAATAGAGTTCCATGCGCGTTAGGGACTTCCTGTTGGCATGCACGCGCATGATTTGAATTTATTGAATTTATATTAATCCTTAATCGAACTGAATGATGTGACATAAAAGTATTTGCCCCAGGGCATGCTGGGAGGTCCCTGGAGATTTCCAACATGGTGGACATCAGGTCGGAGGTCAACCGTGAGCTCGTCATGCGGTTTGTCAGCGACGTTGCCAACGGCAACCGTTTCTACTCCGACCTCAACAGTTTCCAGGTTTGTTCACGTTTTCTCGTCACGCTGTGGACTGATCTCACAGCATCAGCCTGTTAGCAGCTATCTGATTGGTTATTGGTTGGTCATGTGTGCAGATGCAGCAGCGGCGGACTCTGTCGAAGCTTCCCCTGCAGGCGAACTTTTACCCGATGAGCTCGGCGTCCTTCCTGCAGGACTCGACGTCTCGTGTGTCTCTGCTGTCGGCTCAGAGTCAGGCCGTCGCTTCGCTCAGACCAGGTGAGTGTCCGTCTACCTGCACGCCGCGTGTCAGGTTTCACGAGGCAGCAGGCTGAAAATAATGAAACCAGATAAAATCGTACAGGAGCAGCGTAAAGCTGTAAATCTAGTTTCAGTTGGAAAAGGAAACATGTCTGTTCGAACAGGAAGTGAGTCATCGTCACGTTCTCGGGTCTCGCCTGTTAATTATTGCTCTTCCAGGTAGAACATTCAAACTGGAGACTCTTTATTCATAAAATACAGAGCGTGGTGTGAACCTCTGACAGAGTTCAGTTCTGCAGGAGACTTCAGTTAATAAAGTCCATCTTGTTTCTTGGGAAACTTCTGCTTCTGCTGACCGAAGGTTCATTTTTATTCTTATTATTTTTTATGTTTTACTTCAGGTATTTATTTATTTAGTGCAGTGAGTCTTTATTTGATATATTATTTTTACAATGACTGCTTTGTTTTTACAAAGAAACAGCGTCCTCGTTTCCATGGTGAGTTGCTGGGCTCACTGCCACGTGACATCATCGCACAAAACGCTGCGTCAGCCAATCAAAAACATGCACATTCCTGGTGGATCACTTGTGACGTGCTGTATTTCTACTCTGGTATTGAATCCTTGTCTGAGAGGATTATAAACCTCTGTGAATCAGGTGTCTCTCCTGAACCTGAACCAACAGGCGTCTTCGGCCTGAAAGCCGTTGAAAGACGACACTGAAAGGAAACGTGATCTGTGAACGCCGTGTGGGGTTTGTCTTTGAGCTGAAGAAAAATGCATGTTTATTGACCTCTGACCTGTGCAGGGGAGCTGGAGGTGGTGTTGGACCGGCGGCTGCAGCAGGATGATAACCGCGGCCTCGGTCAGGGCGTCACCGACAACAAGCTGACGGCGAGTCTCTACCAGCTGCTGCTGGAGGACAGGAGGGGCGGGGCTCAGGTGAGGGGCGGGGCTCAGGTGAGGGGCGGGGCTCAGGTGAGGGGCGGACACACTAAACCTGTTTATCAGCAGAAAATAATAATTCACTATGAGAAAATGAATCAGAAATATAAGTGCAGCGTGAAACGGATGTTTTCACCCGTTCGAGTCTTAAAGCCGCTCAAATCGCTCCCACGCCGTGGTCGTGGTGTACAGCGGGAACAGACCTGAAAACATCCAGTAAGAATATGTTAACCAACAACAACCAGATCTGAATGGATGCTGCGGGTCAGATCGCTGCTTTGAGAACGGGGAGAGAGTTTATTTTTGTTTTGCATCTGTATTTCTTTCTGACAGGAAGTGGGAGGGGCCTCGGTTGAGCACCTGTCACTGCTCGCCCACCTGACTTCGCTCTCCCTCTGCCACCCGCCAATCACGATGGTCGCCCCGAGCGGCGGCCGGCTGCCAAAGCTCCGCCCCTTCCTGCCGCTCCGCTCGTCGCTGCCGTGCGACGTTCACCTGCTGAACCTGAGGACGCTGGAGGACGCGCAGGTAAGAACGGAAACACCTGGAACATTTGTGAAGTTCCTCCAGAGTCCTGAAAACAACCAGAGCAGAAAATCAGCTGTTTTAATAGCAGATTTGCATATTTAATGAGTTTTAACGCCACCACGAGGATTCATGTGTCAGATTGTGCTTCTGTAAATCTCTGCAAAGACTTGATAACTGTTCTGGTTCTGACATCTGAAACCATTTTGTTTGTGAGTGGGAACCAGGGTCTAAGAGAGTAAGCGCTTCATTTGAGCTTCTGTTGAGCAGTGCTGCGGATAAAACTGCTGCTGGAGGAGCTCGTGTCCAGGCCGGGGCTCTGAGAGGGTGACCGGCGTCGTGTACAGCGCTGTGTGCTTCCTGTTGAGGTCGGAGAGGTGGGGGTGGGGAGACCAGTCATTTTGGGGGCGTGTCCGTTTGTTCCTGTCGGGCTGAGATAACAGGATGTAGAGCAGCAGCAGGAGGGTGCGACAGAAAGTGTGCTGATCAAATTTCACTTTCACTCGGCCCTTTCAGCAGCTTCGTTAGTGATGCGTGGCGTTGGGGGCGGGCTGTCGGTGTTCACCTGAAACCTTCAGTTTGTTTAAATGTAACTCCGTGAGTTTAAGTGAATCAGAGTTCATCTAAACACAAAGTTCAAAGACGTGAAAACACAAATGTTTGTGTTTAAACAGGAAGCAGAAAGTCCGTCGCAGGAAGTGGCTCTCCTCCTGCACAGGAAGGGCTTTGATTGTAGCTCCGCCCCCGAGCCGCCACTGCAGTGCACATGGAGCGCGCACGAGGAGGTGAACACAACACACGCACACACATTTTGTATTTCTGCATTTGAAATGAGAGGAGGGCTTTGATTTGTTTTCAGTCTGATCATGTTGTTTTTTCTCTGAATTCAAACTTCACTGTCTGAACGGGTTTCTTCTTCGTCTCCAGGTGAACTTGGACGATCTCTTCTCTCCTCTTCGGTTTCGTTCTGTCCGTCGATCAGGTCTCACTCTGCTGCGAGAGGACGATGAACCGGAATCCGCCCAGCAGCAGCAACGCATCACTCGCCTGCGGCCAATGGAAATCAGCGCTTTCCGCGTTGAGATCGAGTGACGGGACCAAACGTTTAAATAGAGGCGGGCCCCCCCCGCCCACGGTGGTTAACAGCCAGAGACCAGTAGAATAATTTTGCCAGTTGAACACGAGAGATGTTTGTAGATTTAAAAGATCAGAAAAGTCGCAGTTTGTCGTGAAACTGCTGAAAACTGGAAATGTGTGATTAGAAAGAGGAAACGCCGTCATGACTTCCTGTCCTCAAGCTAACCGTGCCAAAGATGGACAGGTGAACTAACGTCTGCCATGTTGGTGACGTGGTTCAGAGGGCGGTTTCACTCAGAACCAAAACCGCCACGACAAACTGCGACTTCTTCACCGTGACCTCAGAAAGTGAAGCTCGCGGGCTCAGTTCAAAGCCATCAATCAAAGTGTCTCTCGCTGTTAACTTCCTGCAAATTTTATAAATAAGCTGGCGTGGAGATGCAGGAGGGGGAGGGGCTTCATCTTTCTCTTCCACGTTTCATATCACTGACACGACGAGTAGCCAATCAGAAACCAGATGTAGAAAGTAACGCGTCGGAGTCGAATCTGTGAAAGTCAAAAGGTCAAACAGAAGTTAGATCAGTTAAGACTCAGACGAGAACGTCACCTGTGAAAAAACAAGGTACAGGTGAAACCGTAGAAACCGTCACGGAGACGGGCGGGAACACAGGAAGTACACCCAGAGAGAAATCCCTAAATTATTTGTCTTTTATTTTATATTTCCTGCTGGAGGCGCTCAGGTCGGCTCGTCCGGTCACTACATGTGACGACCTGTGGTCAGGTGACCAACAGGCGAGTCTGAAGCTCAAAGGTCAAAAAACCAGTCCAGATGAAGAAAACACTGAATGACAGGTGAAGGACCCTACAGGGGCCCTGGACCCTACAGGGGCCCTGGACCCACCAACTAAAAGGGACCAAACGAGTTGTTCGCTCGTGCTCAACGAATGTTTTTTAATTGTGTGTGTTTCCATGGTGATTTTAAATCACAGCTGACACTGTTTTTAATTTTTATAAAAAAACCTGTGGAATTGTGGGTAAGCTGTGTGCGCTCAGCGTCTGAGCGTGTTGATCTGTAGTCTTTCTGTGTTTGCTGTGAAAAGGATTCTGGGTATTTTGTCTATTTTCTGCTGAAATGTGTTTGTGGTTCGTCAAAGATACAGAAATGTTTTCTTTTTATTTTGGGGTAAAATTTATGCTGTTAATACAGAAATAAATTATTCTTTAATTTTTCCTTCTGTTTCCAAAAGCAGTTCATGTTTTTACAGCAGAGACCCAAAATAATCCGACATGAAAGGGGGGGGCGAGAGAGAGAGAGGGGGGGGGGGCGAGAGAGAGAGAGAGGGGGGGGGGCGGAGAGAGAGGGGGGGGGCGAGAGAGAGAGAGAGGGGGGGGCGAGAGAGAGAGAGGGGGGGGGCGAGAGAGAGAGAGGGGAGGGCGAGAGAGAGAGAGGGGGTGCGAGAGAGAGAGAAGAGAGGGGTGCGAGAGAGAGAGAGGGGGGGGGGGGTGCGAGAGAGAGGGGGGGGTGCGAGAGAGAGAGGGGGGCGAGAGAGAGGGGGGGGGTGCGAGAGAGAGAGAGGGGGGGGGGCGAGAGAGAGAGGGGGGGGGTGCGAGAGAGAGAGGGGGGGGGGGCGAGAGAGAGAGAGGGGGGGGGGGCGAGAGAGAGAGAGGGGGGGCGAGGTCTGAAGTCTTACTTTCTGCTTTGACTTTAATTTTTAAACGTCTCCAAAACCCTCCAAGTGCTGAAGAGCCGGATGCCAACGATTCAGCAGAAACATGCGGCGATAAGCGAAGGATCTGAGAAGGACCTCTAAGAGGTGAACGCATCACTCAGCAGAACAGCTGATGAAGGCTTCCTGCCCAGATCTGCATCCTCCTCTGTTCTCAGCACAAACGAGCTGCAGGAACTTCTCTGCAGGCGTGCAGAACTCTGCACAGCCGGGCGAGACGCCGACAGCAGAAACAGCTGATCAGTCCTGAGTTACAAGTTCGCGACGTCAGAACTGATTCACAGAAAGTGTTTCCATCTCCCGTTTAGGACTTTTACTCTTTTTCCACAAAACACACCATAAAACCTCCTTTTATTCAGAGGTGTTATCTTAACTTATTTGACACTCCTCTTGCTCATTGTAGCTGAGACTCTTTCTGTTTACCTTTTGTCTTGTAACTGTTTGGAAATTTACCACATAACCAAGTTGTTTGTAGATAATTACTGAGGTGGGCCGTGTGATTAGGCTGTCTGCGGTTTTCCACAGTGTGGCACAGCCCATAGTGTTTCTACACCCGCTGACTTTGTGCCTGACAACCAGGCCCAGAATCAGCTCAGAGATCAAGGTTAGGCTCCTCCAGCGGGTGGATTGTAGTGATGAGTGATTTCTGCACGTGCTTCCCCCATTTAGTGCATTTACTCTTTTTCAACAACAAACACCTCAAGCGAGCTGAAAAACTTGCCGTTTCCATCAACCTTTTCTAATGCGACACTTCAAAATGCGCATTAAACACGTTGATGGAAACCGTCTGCACAGCTAGTGAGCTTCCTAACACTGAATCTGAACAGCAGTTCAGGATCGCTGTCACAACTCTGCGGGACACAATGCTGCTATCCTACTCTTAGTCAGATTGTACGGGTCAAACAGTTGAAGTTCTGTCTCGTGGTCACCTTCCTGCTCAGCAGGAACAGACAACTCGCCATATATATATTATAAAGGTTTCTACGCACAGAGAAGTTACCGAAACAAACGCTCTATTCTTCTTCAGAGAAAAATTCTGTGGAAAAGGCTGCACATTTCTGCTCATCCTTTCACCCAGAGCTCACGTGAAGTTTTTCAGACACGGGGCTCAGTGATGCCAGAGATCATGAAGTACACAATTCTGACAAAAGCAGAGGCTCGATGGCCCGGCTCCACCCTCCAACGTAGGAGTTTCTAATATTTTTAAAACGTGCAGTCATGCAGGGGAGGGCGGGTACGCTCTCCTGACTCGGCTCCTTGACCCTTCGTAAACACACTGAATGCTGCACAGACGATCTACAATGAAGTGCATGAGCTCACCATCGACTCCTGAAATCTGGCTGGAGCTGCCGACAAATCTGCTACGTTGACAGGGTTTGTGGTGTGAATTCACTTTATCAGAATGAGATTTATTGCCATTTATGTGTACACATAGGAGGAATTTGACTCAAGATATCATCACTCACGATGTGCTTACTCATACAATAAGACAATAATAAAATAAATCAGACTACACAGATATACACACTATGAAACAATGTACACATTGACAAATAGTGCAGTGAGCAGACTGCAAAGGATGCAGGAGTAAAATTATTATTATTATGTACATGTCGGAGGTGGATGTGATATACAGGTACACATACATGTACACAGTGCGATGGAGCACAGTGCAAAGGATGTATATAATGTATTTACAATATAACAGTATGAACAGCTCTGAAATAGAGAATGGTGAGGAAATAATAAGTGGAAACCAGTAAACAGGTGCTGATTAGAGACAGGGTTACTGGGTTATTGCACAAGAATTGTTCCTGACACTGTGAGTCAGAAATCAGCTGTTCATCAGAGTGATGGCTTGTGGGAAGAAACTGTTCCTGAGTCTGTTGGTTTTGGCGTACAGTGCTCTGTAGCGCCTACCAGAGGGGAGGAGCTGGAACAGGTTGTGTCCGGGGTGAGATGGATCTGCAGTGAGGTTTTCTGACTCTGGAAATGTATAAGTCCTGAATGGAGGGCAGGTTGGCACCAATGATCTTTTCTGCAGTCCTGACTGTCCGTTGTAGTCTGCTCCTGTCCTTTTTGGTGGCAGATCCAAACCAGACAGTGATGGAGGTGCAGAGGACAGACTGCATGATGGCTGTGTAGAACTGGATCAGCAGCTCCTTAGGCAGGTTGAGCTTCCTGAGCTGGCGCAGGAAGTCCATCCTCTGCTGGGCTTCTTGATGATGGTGTCAGTGTTGGGCTCCCACTTCAGGTCCTGGGATATAGTGGATCCCAGAAACCTGAAGGATTCCACAGCAGACACAGTTTAGTATGGTGATGGGGGCAGAGTGGGGGGGCTCCTCCTGAAGTCCACGGTCATCTCCACAGTTTGAGCGTGTTAAGCTCCAGGTTGTTCTGACTGCACCAGAGAGTCAGCTGACTGTGTAGAGGGAGAAGAGCAGTGGGGAGAGCACACACCCCTGGGGGGCGCCAATGCTGATAGTCCGGGTGCTGGATGTGATGTTTCCCAGCCTCACCTGCTGACTCCTGTCAGTCAGGAAGTCTGTGATCCACTGACAGGTGGAGGCTGGCACAGTGAGCTGGGTGAGTTTGGTGCTGAGGATGTCCGGGATGATGATGTTGAACGCCGAGCTGAAGACCACGAACAGGATCCTTGCATATGTCCCTGGAGAGTCGAGGTGTTGCAGGATATGATGCAGACCCAAGTTGACAGCATCATCCACTGACCTGTTAGCCCTGTAGGCAAACTGCAGGGGGTCCAGCAGGGGGCCTGTAATGTCCTTCAGGTGGGCCAGCACCAGTCTTTCAAAGGACTTCATGACTACAGATGTCAGGGCGACGGGCCTGTAGTCATTTAGTCCAGAGATGGAGGGTTTTTTGGGGACCGGGATGATTGTGGAGCGTTTGAAGCAGGAGGGGACTTCACACAGCTCCAGAGATCTGTTGAAGATCTGAGTGAAGATGGGGGCCAGCTGGTCTGAACAGATTTTTATGCAGGATGGAGACACACAGTCGGGGCCAGGAGCCTTCCTGATCTTCTGCCTCTGGAAGAGGTGGCTCACGTCCTCTTCACAGATCTTGAGTGCAGGTGAGAGGTCAGAGGGGGAAGGTGACTGTTTGAAGATGGTGTTGGAGTGGGGGAGGGTGTGACTCTGGGTTTTTCAAACCTATAGTAAAAGCCATTCAGCTCGTCTGCCAGTTGCTGAGTACCAGCAGAGTTGGGGGACGGTCTCCTGTAGTTAGTGTCCGCAGGCCTCTCCACGCTGACGCAGGGTCGCTGGCTGTGAAGCTGTTTCCTGGCTTTTCAGCGTAGCTCCTCTTTTCTGCTATAATCTCTTTAGTCAATCTCTTTATCTGAGTCACAACATAAAACCTCCT